GCTGCTGCTGCTGGGCGCTACGTGGCTGGCAGGCCCGGCCCGTGCGCAGAATGAGACGGAGCCCATCGTGCTGGAGGGCAAGTGCCTGGTGGTGTGCGACTCTAACCCCACCTCCGACCCCACGGGCACGGCCCTGGGCATCTCCGTGCGCTCCGGCAGCGCCAAGGTGGCGTTCTCTGCCATCCGGAGCACCAACCACGAGCCGTCCGAAATGAGTAACCGCACCATGATCATCTACTTCGACCAGGTGAGCGCACTTTCCTCGGGGTGCACATTGAATCTGGGGTGCGGGGGTGGGTGTAGCAGCGGGGTAAGACGCATGCCCGAGATCTGCAAGGGCTCCGCTGAGGCGCGGGGACAGCAGCGGGGACTGACTCAGGTCTCCTCCCTTCGTTCCCGTCTCCACATAGGTGCTAGTGAACATCGGGAACAACTTTGATTCCGAACGCAGCACTTTCATCGCCCCGCGCAAAGGGATCTACAGTTTTAACTTCCACGTGGTAAAAGTCTACAACAGACAGACCATTCAGGTCAGCTGCCACCCCGGGCCAGGCCCAGGCCCCGCAGGGGACTGCTAGCCGCGGGGTGCGCGGGCTCTGTGAAGGTGGGGGACAGAGGTGGCAGCTCCTTGTGCCCGGGTAGCTCCAAGGGATAGATAGGAGAGCCTCGCCGTTTGGCCGCTCGGGCGGGCCCTTGCTTTCTCAGTCGCTGGCTCTAGCGACCCGTCTCCGTCCCCTGAGAGCGTTTTCTGCTTTCTCCTTGTGGGACCCTTGGAAGAGGTTCCGCTGCTTTCCTACGGGACTCTGGGGACTTTTGGTGACAGCTGCCGCTAGCCACACAGACAGCCCTATCTTCTGTGAGCTGCCTAAGGCTGTCGCCGTTACCACCCGTACCCTCGATCCCATGCCGCAGCACCGGGGGGCTAAGAGGCGGCTTGTCCTCTTGCCTTCAGGGCCCGGGGTGGGACACGGTCCCGTTCCTCTAATCTGGCGGCCTGGGGGGTGTCCCTTTATGGATGATTCGGGTTTTTTTTTTTGAACTAGCAGCTGAGAGCCTTGGAGGACGAAGGGTGGAGAGAGGAGGATGTACAGTGCCACTCCTCCTAGCTCCGTCCTCGTCCCAGCCAGTATTCTCTGTTTTTGGGCCCCAGAGATGCCCAGGTGTCCTTTGAACACAGACAGAAGCAGAAAGCGCGGCCGTGGACAGTGACCTGGCCCTGGACTGGCGAGGCCACCGCAAGGGCAAAGCAGGCTGCGGCGGGCGCGGGCAGGAGCTGGGCGGGGATGGAGCCAGCGTTTTGGAGATGGAGCCGTGCGCACCTCCATATGCGCTTTCTAATCAGGCGAAAGCCTTGCTAAGCTTCTCCAGACGTCTTCACCGCATCCCAGCAGCTAGGGCCGGGAGGGACCGCGTTCTCTTTGATTTTGGTTTTTCAGGAGCCAAGTTGCCTGAGTTTCTCTTTGGGGTTGGGGGAAGCGGGAGAGACGCGGAAGGTCTCCCGGCGCTAGAGCCACCTGCGATTCACTAAACTGGATAATACACAGTTGGATTCTCTAGGCGCGCGCGCAGTTGAGAAACTGGGACGAAGATGACTCCCGAGTTGGGAGCAGACGCTTCCTTTCACCCAAATACTTTGGCCTCTGGTCCACCTGGGACCTTCAGCTGTAAGCTGCAAATACCCGCTTCCTCCCGCCGACCCCTCCTTGATGCCTACGGAGCTGTTCGCCCAGCGCGGAGGCGCGCGTCTCTGCGCCCCCACCTAGGTTGTGCCTCTTCTAAATCAGGTCTTTCTTTTTCCCAGGTGAGCCTCATGTTAAACGGGTGGCCGGTGATTTCAGCCTTCGCTGGGGACCAGGACGTGACCAGGGAGGCCGCCAGCAACGGAGTCCTAATCCAAATGGAGAAAGGCGACCGAGCATACCTCAAGCTGGAGCGGGGGAACTTAATGGGGGGCTGGAAGTACTCGACCTTCTCCGGATTCCTCGTGTTTCCCCTCTGACTGGCTCCTAACCGGGATGGAGGCCGGGAGAGGGCGAAGGCAGGAGAGGGAGAGACAAACAGGCTGAAATTAAGAAGGCGAGAAAGCGGCACCACTTGAAACTTCCCACACGTTCCCCGTCCTCATCGGGTAATCAGGTGCGCACCGGCGGTTGGACAACTTGGTGTTTCCTTGTTAGAAGCAAATTCCGCTTAGCTCTGCGCACTCCCGTTTCCAAAAATAAACTCGCCTCCCCCAGTCCACTTGCAGTAATCAAGGAAAGAGACTGCCTTGTCATTGTTTCTTACTCCCATGTTCATGTTCCCAGCGATTATTTAAAAGAAACTTTGTATTTAACTATGTAATGTGAAATATTTTCCCTGTCCCCCTCTGAAACCTCCCAGTTACTGAAATCTAATATTTTCCTCCCCACTCCTTTTTTAGTTTGGAGAGGGGTTGAGTTTTTTATTTTGTTTTATTTTCTGTTTTTGTTTCTGAATGGGGAAAGTAGTTTTAATCTGACAAGTATTGCTCTTCTTAAAACATTTCGGGTTAATTAGCTGAAGATACGTTGTATCCTCAGCTGCCTATTAGCTGAGAAAGGACTCACCTCGCTGGTGACTGGTTTAAAATATACATAAATATATATCGTTTGTACACGAAGAACTCTTCCCAGTGGAAACTGGCCGTGATCCTGTATTTCTATGTCCTGTTCGGAGTGGTCGTGAGTCTAAGGCTGCTTGGTGTTCTCATGCTTGTCAACACCCTCGTGCTCTGTGGCCCCGCTAACCGCCCAGGAGGGTCTTCCGAACGCTTTCTCGTCCTCTGTACCATACATGTGAATAGCCAAGATTTAATTTTGCTTTAATCCAATAAAGTCAAAGTGGGACTTTTATTTTTCTGAAACAGCTTTCTGAACTCCGCATCTTCCCAGGCTTCGAAGGTGAAGCTGGGGACCGAGGGTGCCCAGGGCGAGGTTCAGGGAAGCAGGAGGCACGAGAATGCCACCAGAAAGGCCCGACGCCAAGGCTCACCTGAAGCTGGTTGGAGCTCCCACTTGCACCAGGCCTCAGCCCGCCTGCTTCACCTGTGCGCCCTGCTTTGCTTGGCCCAAACCTAAGAAATGGGGCCCCGCTTGGGAGCGAAGTTTGGGTTTTTCGGATTCCAAATGCGTCGGAATCATCCCCATTGGAAGACCCAAAACCAGCCTGCCCGAGTGGCAGCTTCCCCGCGCCTTCTGCTCCTGGATGTCCCCAACCCTCCTCTGCTCCGCAACTCCCGCCGCGTACGTTTTATACCAACGCCTCCGAATCCCGAGTCGCCTGCCAATGACCTGGCACCCTGGACCTGTGGTTGCACTCATTCGCAGGACTTTTCTTGGAGAGGTTCGTCCAGGAGTTTTGATTGTATTGGAACATAATGTGAAAGCAAAATTGAAATAAACGACTTCGTTTTAAGTCTGGAAGCCTGACCCAGTCGTTTGGGCAAGCCGCAGGGAGGTTGGGCGCTGGGGAGAAGGTGGGCGGCGGTGGAGGGCAAAGGGCAGGATCCGCGGCCGCGAGGGCTGCTCCGCTTGCGGTCCCTCCTGGGGGCTTTTTCCTGGCCTGAGATTTAGGGTTGAATTTCTGGCTCCAGAAGGAGAGAGGAAGAGGAGGGATGATAAGAGCATAGTAAGCGACATTGCTCGGATTGATTCCTGCGGTTTATCTGATTTAGAGATTTCCTGAGCACAGGCAGGGGCCATGGGTTGAAATCCAGGCTCTGTTTCCGCGCCTGCAAGTCAGGGGGCCCCTGCAGCCCCAGAGGCCCGAGGTCCCTGGGGAGAGGTGGGGACATCGCAGTGAGGAGAGGACCGCGTTTTTCTTCATGCCCAACCGCTCCCCTTCTCCCGCGTGAGTCCTATGAGCAGTGTGGATGAGAGCAGGGAATCCTTAGGAAACCGAAAAGAAAAACTGTTCTTTGTTCATAAGGACACACACTGCCCTCGGTCTTCCTATGGGGAAGGAGAGGCCAGGGACTCCTTGACGGTGCTAGAAGTGCCTCTACCCAACAGAACCCAAGCGCAGAGCCCGCCCTCCAGGCGAGCTGAGACCCCCGAGGCAGGAGGCTTAAGGCTAGCTGGGCAGGCATCGTCATAGCCCAGAACACCCCAGAGCTCATCCGGCCACTGGTGTGTAGTCCCTGCTCTTCCTGAGGACAGAACCTCTAGGGTTGTTGTCACAGCAGTTAGAGGACCAGCAGGCTGTGTCCTAGCAGGGTGACTGGCACCTCTCTCTCTCTCTCTCTCTGGGCGCTGTTTGTCTACTTCTATAAAGACAGGGGAGAATCCAAACATCCCCAACAGTCCCTCCTGTTCTGCAGATCCAGCAGTTGCCTTGGTTAGTGATCCTGGCTGGAGCCTGGGCTGACAGTGTGTGTGTGTGTGTGTGTGTGTGTGTGTGTGTGTGTGTAGGGGGTTGCTGCGCATGAGGAACTGGGGCACATTGAGCCCCAGCTCTAGGGCTTGGAGGGTGAAATGAGCTACAGCAGATGGGCCCTAAGGGGGAATGAGAGGGAGAGGTTCTCCTGAGGGTCTGCCCTGGCCCAGCCGGCCGCCTTCTTGGAGGAGGGTCCCTGCCTCTCCAAAGCCTGACCCTGGCGCTAGAGACCCTTCTCAGTCTGGCCGCAGCCTCTTCCTCCTGCTGCTGATTCTGCCCTCTGCCATTTGATGGCTGCATTCCCCGTTGTTATCTTTGGATCTCCACACCAGTTATTCCTGTCCTGGAGGTTGAAGTATTTTTTCTCTCCCACACTTTTCAAACTCCTATGCCATGGAGGCTTTGTGAAAATCAGGGACATAGGTGCTTCCTCTAGGACTACTTCCTGTCTACACAGTGCTGGCACTGGTGTCTGAGGGTATCCACCCTTCCTCGTTCTCCAACCAGACCTTGTTTGGAGACAGACATCTGGAGCTGTGCTTGTTCCCCACTCTGCTTTGTGTCCCATGGGGCAGTGGTGGCTCATGCTGGCAAGCCCTTAGGATTGCTGAACTGGTGTCCCTGGCCTAAGGGCGCTGGCGTTTCACATCCCCCCCAAACTGCCCTCATCCTCAAGCCTGAGCTTTCCATTAGCCTGAGTGGGGCTGTGCATAGCTCCTCTCTTGTCTAACACGGGGCAGTAGGCACCTCCCTCACCTCTGGGGAGAATGTAAGTGGTGGGGGGCAAGTGAATCACTTCTGCCTGAACTGGAGGAAAATTGGGCTCCAGACTGGAGACTGGGAAGGGGACTAAAACCTGTACCTCATGGTGGATTCTTTCAATGCTTTGAATCCTCTATGTTCTTGCAGATCTCAGAGCCCTGCCTCCTGCTTTCATGTAATGTAAAATATTTTAGATCAGGCCTATGCAGCAGTGATGGTGAACCTTTTAGAGCTTCCAACGATAATGAACAGCCGGCTGTGGCATATGGGCCATAGGTTCCCCACCACTGCTCCAGGGGGTCCAGGACCACCTCCTTCTCCAGCTTCACCCTCTGAAAGGCTCCTCCCCATCTGGATCACCTTGGTTCCCTCCTCCTCTCCTGCCTTGCCTCCTCCGGTCAGAGTTGTCATCCCTCTTCTGGCCTCCCTCTTTGGAGAGTGTTGTCTCTTGCTGATGGCTCCCCAACAAGTCCTGCGTATCTTCTGCCCAAATTTCAGCCTACAGCTAGGCCCAGAGGATGGTGAGGGGAAACTTAGGAGGCTTCTAGCACCCAGAAAGCTGTTTTCTCTGCCTGATTCTCCACACTGTGCCAAGTGTTCCTTGAGCCTAGTAGGCCGGGGTCCCTGCTTTCCACCCAGCACTGCCGAGTTGAGCTTTCCTGTGCTGGCCATTTCCCTGTGTGCGGCGGAGCTGGGAGCATACCTTCCTTCGCCTTCCTCCATGCATTGGGCTGCTGGTGCTTGCTGGCTGGTCAGCTCCCAATGAGAAAATAATAACCTAGATGTAGTGGGAGCCTCTGCCGGCTGGTTAATTGTTGCCTTAATAGGAAGGTAGTGGAGGCTGCTCGGCAGAGGTAAGGGGCAGGATTCTCCCTTGGGGTTTAAGTTAGGTCTTAGGGACAAGTGGACAGCAGATAAGGCCCAGCGCCCTACATGCAATCTCTGGCTTTACATGTGACCTTACATGACCCTTTCGCCCAATCGCAGGTCTGTCCCTAAGTCTAAGCCTGCCTCTCACCCAGTCACACATCTCCGGGCAGGAGCTTGGTTAAGTTTTGTCACTACCCAGAGCATTCAAACAAAATAGGAAACCCTACCCACTCTGGGGATGCTGTCTCCTGGAACTGGAGCCCAGCCCAGAGGGAAAGCTCAGGCCCTCTCTCTTTTGAGCTTATTCCATGGAACAAAGAAAGGTTGCCCAGGGGACCATTACCAAGGATTCTGTGATCTTGTTGCATGGAGCTCTTCATTGAAGAGTGCTCTCTCTGAGCCTCAGTTTCCTCATTTCAAGTGGGGACAATAATGTCTTCACAACAGGGTGGTTGGGAAAACTATGATAAAAGGTATTTTAAAGTGCTCAGCACTGGCCAAGGCAGAGTAGGTGCTGCAAAAATGGTAGCAATAATGAGGAATACTAGATACCCAGAGGGTCACACTGTCGCAAAAGCAGAACATGAGGGGATCCCCACAGTGAACAGAGGGGGAAACTGAAACCATGGGGGGACATGGGGCAAGTGAGATTAAATGGTAGATATAGGAAGAAGTCCTGTGCTTTTTCTTTTCCGTAACACTTATTCCATCCCTGCCCCTCCATCAGTCACAAGAGTCAGAGATTTTACTCCCTCATTGTCTTCCATTGCCACTTCTGTTGCTGCTTGTGCCTCGGCACTTGCACGGAGCATTGTGGGTGCATATTTTCTCTGCTTGTCTGCATGCTCCTCCACTAGAGCACAAGGCCTGTTTGCTTTCTGTGTCCCTTTAGAGGGCATTCCCTTCCAAGCCAGTAGCCATCCTCTTCACTGTGCTTGGCTCAGGGCCTCTCAAGGTACCTGGCACAGAGAAAGTGTCCTGTGATGGTGCCATGAGCCAAATCAAATTGTGCCTGGCACTCAGTCCCTACTTTCTTGCCCGTCCCCACACTCTGCTAACAAGAACATTGACAAGGAGGTCCTCCTTGACCTGCATGGATGATGGAAACTTCCTGAACATCTTCACTTGCTCCCATCTCTTCCCATTTTTCTCTGAGGTCAAGTTGTTCCCAGGAAGTCCCAGCTGTGACCTTTGGTGGCAGAGAGCAGCGACAATAAGGAAGAGACCAAAAGTAGATGTATGGGTCCATGTTCAGGTTTTGTGCCCAGTCTTCTCACTGGGAAGATGCTTTGTTGTAGATGGATGAGGCTGCCTGTGCTTCAGCAATAGTGAGGAAACAGCATGGCTGATGGCAAGAAGGAGCACTTCATGGTGATCTAGAATGTCTTCCTGTTGTATGGTTACAGCCTAGAGCCTAAGGACATTGCTGCTTACGTTGCTGAGTTCTGAAGAGTTCCAGGAAGGGGCTTATGGTCAGGGACCAAAGGTAGATTTCTGTCCGACCTGGGAAGGCTCCAACCTGACCTCAGGGCTCTACGTGAGCTCCGCCTCATCTGCAGAACCTCCCCTGTGCTGGCCACCTGAACTCTGCTGCTCAGATCACATCCTGACCACCACTCTGCTGGAAGCTAATCTCCATGAGGATTAGGCACTGGGCTCTGTGTTCCCAGGAGTGTGTACCCAGGACCTGGTACAGTGTCAGTGGCAACAGATGTTCTTTCCCATGTTCCTTGAATAGATGATGGAACACAGGAAAGTTAGGACAGTTGGATGGAGGGATTACTGGTTGCATTGTGGACACATCTGCCTGACCTGCCAGACTATGAATTCCACAAAGATATCTACCTTATCTCCCTTGCTTACAATTATATTCTAAGTGCCTAGCAGAGTGTCTGGAATGTGGCCAGCATGAAAAGTATTTCTTGAGTGAATATGGTACTTTGGATGTGTGACTCACTGGACTGTGAGATTCTGGAGTGCAGGCTCAGCATTGTGCTCCTCTCTGAATTATCACTATCCCCCTGAACAACTAATTTCAGATGGAACTGGTTGTATCTATTGTCTGGGGCTGGCCCTACAGCACAGCTTGTCTTTGCATGCTGTTTGTCCCACCCTGTGTCCCACATGCTATGAGCACCTTAGAGGGCAAGGCCTATTTTTACTTTTCTTAAAGGACAAGAACATTGTAGTGGATTGGCAACTGGTGGTTAACTTGTAAAACCCAGCTGAACTGAGTAAGCATGGTGCTGGGTGTGGAAGGCCCACCTGAAGATTGTTGCCAGCAGCATAAGAGAAGAAAAAGTTAGGCTGTTGGGAGCTGAAAAAAGGCTGTTGGGAGCTGGTAGAAGCTATAAGGAGCTGTTGGTTCTTTTGGAGGAGCTTGTCATGCTGGCTTTCCGGATGAACTTGACTGTTT